TGCACGTAAATCCCAAAGTTCAGGGGTTAAAGTAAGAAGTAAGTTCAAAGCATCGTAACTGATTTTTTTAAGCTTTCCCACCACACCACATTCTTACCATTTTAAACTAATTTCTGTGGGTTCTCCAGCACTTTGGTTATGGACATGTGATGATTTGTTGCTGGTCAACCGATCCCTTCTATTTCCACATTGAAAAATATTAATTTTGTACATTAATTTTTCCTCTACTTTTGAATCTTAATTTAAGACTTCTATCTTCTCTGAATGTTCATAACTCTTTATTATGTTCTAGTTTGTTTTTGTTTTCGTTTTATGAAGTGAAGATAATGCTTGTGGATGGTGCTGCACAACTTAGTAATAATTTCAAGAATTACCTCTTTTGGAGAATATAATTAAAAAGAGTAGCACTAACATTTTCCCAATGATGCCCTATAGAAAAGATTGTCTATTTTTTATACCTTGTGTCTCAAAGTTGGGCTGACACTTTGAATAGTTTGTGTCCCTTTCTTTGAAGTTTGTTTCTTTGGGATTTTAATAAATCTTATAAGTTTTCAGAAATCCTCCTTTACCTCTCAACATTAAAATTGCTAGCTTTAGGAAAAGGACGGTTACCTGTTGTCTTTTACATATTCCCTGTTGCAATGTGTCATTTAATTTTAGCTCACCAGCTTTTGCAGCCCTCCTTCTCCCCACAGAAGAAGAGCCACTCCTCCAAACTCTAAAATGCTTCAGCTACCCTCTCCCCGGCAAAAAAGGTGACCAAAAAAACTTGACCTGATCTTAGCTTCTTTAACCTGTCTGCCACCCGTTCCCATCTGAACAACTCAACCTGCTGCCCAGGAAATTCAGTGATGAAGGGGTTAACTTGAATTTCTGTACGGCCAATGAATGCACTTACACAGTTCCTCTAGCCTCAGAACTGTAAATGAATCAAACAGGTTACAGAAAGCAAACCTATTAGAATTCTTCATTAAATTTCAAATAAAGAATAGCAGACAAATGGTAACCTGATCAGCAGATTACAGCATCTCTTGTGAAAGTTCCTGTATTTAAAAATGACATAATTGTGTACCAAGGAAGGTAATTGCCAAAGGATGGGAAGATTGTCCCGTTTGTGAGAAAATGGTGGTCAATGCCACTGATTGTTGTTTTTTCCTGATGTTTTCTTACAAAAATGGTGAGTAAGACCCTGATCTTTGAATAGGCCAGTCAGCGGAAATTTAAACTATGAGTCACTGGAAACAGCTTGAAATGGCATCCTTCAACAAAGGAGCTGTGCTCCTCCACTGATGCCCATGTGTAAGAGTGGCTTCAAGAACCAAAGCCTCAGTCAGTTAAAATCAGACCTTCTGTATTGTTATACATGGATATGCAAGCTCCATGTGGACCATGCTGTTTTGCAGGTGTTGCTAATATTTGCCTTAGTGTGTCAAAAACATTGCCGTAAGGCCCATATACTGAATGCAGCCTGTATAGAGACCCTTTTGTGACCCTTGTGCTGTTATATTTTAAGATTAAGGCAAAAGAAGCTCTTAAGGGAAACAAATATACTTGTTTTTGCAACTTGCTGAGTGTTTGTTCCTCTAACATTTTGGCATAGTTCCTGAATCGCTGGAGCTTAGAGTAACATCTTTAGTTGTCTCATCAGCAGACAGCAGGATGTCAAAGCTTACTGTTTTCTTTATGCCCATCTTCCCACTCCTTCAGCCAATGATTTTGGTAAGTCCTCAGATGGGAGACCTGAACCCATTGTTTCTTGGGATGTTTAAAAATTCCCACTCCTAGTTCAGCTGTGCACATGTTGCAAACACTGAAAATTAAGGCACCTTGTGTGCACTTGAAAAACACACGTGTTCTACTGTGATGTGGCTGTGCATAACACATGAAGTGTGATCAGAATAAACATTTTTGTGCCTTCTTTGATCTTTCTAAAATGAAAATGGTGGGGGGAAAGGAACCTCAACCATAATATGTCAAAGCTCTTATACACTTGAACGCCATTATTCCACTTTTACACTGATTGGCTCCCTCTATGTCATCCTCATGAATTGGTAGGAAATAACCATAATGAAAATGGCCCAAGACTATACAACAGCCAGCACCATAGCAGTCTGTTTAATTAATGGTTTCATGTACATTTTGTTCAGAATCATTTCTGAGGTTTTGGTTGATGAGGTTAGCTGTTACCAGGGATGCGGTCTCAGTACAGTGGTTGCCATTAAAAAGTCAATATCACTGTACCAATAGTTACTGCACAGCAGAATCCGAGATAACACAATTGCTACCAATACTTTTGACAGGAAATATCTGCATTGTCTCCAGGATCATGCGAATTTATAGGAAAATATTGACTCTTTAACAATGACCACTGTAAATATTGTGTACTGATTTACACAGTCTCTATTTCTGAATACCCACTCGTTGATTTTCTCCCCACTAGTGAGGATGGTAAGTTGAACTTGCTGAAGTGGAGCTACCAGTATGCAGCTAATATTAGAGCTGTGTGAATTCTTTGCAGCAAGAATTTGAATCCCTTCAAAGTGAGCGTGAGTTTCAGGTTTGCTACATTTTGCTGATTAAGAGAGGGAAGTTTCCATTGTTAGAAAAATCTATTCACTTTCTCACCCTAACCAGATAGGGGTTTTCTGGGGATAGAGAGGTGGGATGCTTCTGGGAGGTACGATTTATAATCAGTCTTGAATCACCAGGCAAACATGCAGGGATTGGTTTGTAGCCAGTGCCTGCAAACCAAACTGCAGGGTTCAGTTTGCAAACACTATTGCAAACTGAACCCCGCAGGGTTTCCACAGCTCTAGTTACTATTATTGCCCCTGGTGAGGCTTATTATCCTGTCACAGAAGATGTATGAAAATCCATCTCTCCACTTTAAACATCATAAGCCTTTGTCACCTACAACACAAGTAATGTTAAAAATAGAACAGTGCCTATGATAAGATTGTGACTTGCAGGCGATGAGCCATTGTCCAAGTAACAGGGACTTATCTGGAGGGCCAGTCAACCTACACAGAACTGTCAGTTTGCTGATTGCCGTTTCTCTCTGAGTTTGATGAAATATTCATGTCTCTGCTCTGCTCTCTGGAAGCACTATTGATTTCTTGTATAAACGCTGCTATATTTAGTCTAGACAAATGGAATGTGGATTGCAGCTGAATAATTTGGATGAAAGGCTGGGTTCTTGACTGCTGCTTTCTCTTGGTCTGGGGCAATTATTTATAATCAAGAGTAGTTTTTGTAAGTTAAGGGTGATTTTTTACAATTTAGTGATTAGTCTCAGAACAAAAGCAAGCAGTTAGGCATAATCATTCTGTTGGGATAGCAGGTTAAGAAGTCAAATTATACTTTGAGGTTTACAAGCACTGTTTCAAGGAGTAAAACTAAATGTTTGATGTTACCAGTTTATTGACAAAGAGAATATAATAAAAAGGGAAAGATTTGGTGTCTCATGTCTTCTTTAAAAAAAAAAGTTTATTTTTTATTTCGCATGTGTCAGATGCCAAAGTATACCCAACAGATTTTAGCATATGCTTAGAACTCAGCTGAAGATGTTGGCTGTGAGTTTTAGCTGTCACAGCCAGCATACTACTACTATGTGTTGGAATGTTTCTACTGTATTCTGTCCTTCTCTTCTTTGTTTCGAACCAAGGGAACAATAAAAGTAAATAAAACATGAGAGAAAATATGTATAGAAGTATGTGCAGCTCATCATTTTGAGACACTGTATTTATATCCACTAAATTTTTTTTCAGTAGAAATAGTTGCAGTGAACTAGTGTGTTTGTGTATAATTCCCCTTTAGTGAATCGAAACACTGCTCAGACTCTGCTCAGTGAGAACTGCTCAGACCCTATACTGCTAACTACCAATGGAGAGTCTCTTTTAGCACAAGTGGTGGGTGCTTCTGCCTTTTTGGAACAGATAGATCTGTGTTCTACTCCCCTCAGTTGGTATGAAAACCCAAATGGCTCTGCTGTGTAGCATAGTGAAAATCATTAAGTTTGTATATATCCTTGGATTGAATTCAGGGAATGAAAGATCAAGGGATTCTTCATTACCTGGTTCGATGTTGTGTTAGCAGTTTATTCCATTACTGAGGATGAATTAAAACAGTCTTTTTAGCAAGATCTTTTCATTCTCTGATGAGTAATGCATTGTATGTGCCACATTCTATCTCCTGTAAGCATGTGAGTGTTCATTATTTAAAACTTTAAAAATATATTTTTCCCAGTATTGTCCCATATAATCCTGTGCGTCTTCCTCTGTGCGTAGCACATTTATGGCTCTCACTGCATAATGCAGAATATCTGTAAAGGTGTAAAATCATATGCAGTCAGTCTGAATGTAAGCTTTCTCCACTGAAAATAAGAACTCTTACAACTCCAGGGCTTTCAACTTATGCCAAATACCACAAGTATACTAAATGTGTATTGTTACACAACACTGCATACCCAGTAATATCTCACCAATTAAACTAAATAATGCTAAGTTTGCAAACTTGCAAGTTCTGACCTGTTGTGCAATGTTTTGTAGGAGCTGGGGTTCTCATTATTCCTCAGGGGGAGATTTCTTTAAAAAATGGGAGGAAAGTAATAGGATGGTGTGTGAATGTGTTAGATTGCTAGTGGAAATGACTAGATTTTGCATATGGCTTACAATGACAGGCATTTTGCTAACTTGATAAATTGACAGGTTTCAGAGTAACAGCCGTGTTAGTCTGTATTCGCAAAAAGAAAAGGAGTACTTGTGGCACCTTAGAGACTAACCAATTTATTTGAGCATGAGCTTTCGTGAGCTACAGCTCACTTCTTCGCTCATGCTCAAATAAATTGGTTAGTCTCTAAGGTGCCACAAGTACTCCTTTTCTTTTTGATAAATTGAAGGAATTTGGGGTGAAATTAAATTAGTTCTCCCCAATATGCAGCATAAATTCATTTTTATCTGCATTCATTTATATATTTTCCTTTTGTTGTTGTTATTTTATAGTGGATGTAAAGTCAGAGGTTCCTGTGGGATTGGAGCCCATCACACCACTGGACTTGCGAACAGATCTCAGGATGATGGTTCCCATGGTGGACCCAATTATGCGTGAAAAGCAGCTCCAGCAGGAGCTACTTCTGATCCAGCAGCAGCAGCAAATTCAGAAACAACTTCTGATTGCGGAGTTTCAGAAACAGCATGAAAACTTGACCCGACAGCACCAGGCCCAGCTCCAGGAGCACATAAAGGTAGCAAAATCTTTCATTTATCTTGGGGCTCCTCCACAGTAAGCTAAATATTCTCAGCTGAATACTGCAAAGGGTGTGCTCCTCTCCTGGAAGTTTTACTGTGATTTAAAGATGTTGTTTGAGTGATTATTGTTGTCCATGTGCATGGTATAGAGAAGTGATGGAAACCCACACTGGATTTGATGGTGATAACATTTGGCTATTAAAAAAGGATGGTCAAGCATAATTGGTAGAGGCTATTGCAGTGTTGTACTATACAGGCAGAAAATCAAGGCACTCTGAATTAGAATAGAATACTCTGTCTCATTAAGATGAGACCTTCTCAGTCAATCAAAGTCCACATTTTTAACCAAATTTTCAGTCAGGCCTCCATATGGCTGCCTTTTTTGTAGGAGCGATTTTGATCTGCCTAGTATATGTGACTGTTTTTTTTTTTTTTTTTTTTTTGCACCTGCTTGAGTCTGTGTCCGCAAATCACATAGACAGGCCTCCTGCCTTTTGATATTTGCAAAAATGGGGACAGGTGCTGCAAATTTGGCACTTTGCCCTTCTCTAGGCTACCTCACAGAATATGAAACAAACTGATTTATGGGATTAAACCTGTCATGGAAGAAACACTGAAGTAGATTTTTTGACTGAGAGATTATGGTCTTGTTTTTTTTCTTTTTCTTTCTGAAATATCTTAGACTGCTGCTCTGCTAATGTGGTGAGCTCTTCTATGATGCGACTGACAAATCCAGTTGAGAATAGCATCTCGAGTCTGATGCTGCATTGGTAGAGAGTGACAATAATGTGCAGGTTATACCCACATTTGGCAAAAGAAAAGAAGCAAAACCAATGCAGCCAGCTACTTTGTGATATTAGAGCTGATTTTAGTGGCAGCTGATAACACAATATTCCACTTGAAAGAATAGAAAAGTGGGTTACGGAGTAATATGAGCACAGATGAAAGCTCTTATATCAGCTATTGAAGTGGGTTATTTTGGCCAACACTGACCTGGACAGCGGTGCAGACTGCATTTGCTCATGTCTTTTATTCTTTGCAAGTTACAACAGGAACTCCTCGCCATTAAACAACAGCAGGAACTCCTTGAAAAGGAGCAGAAACTGGAGCAGCAGAGGCAAGAGCAGGAACTAGAGAGACATCGCAGGGAACAGCAACTTCCTCCCCTCAGAGGCAAAGAGAGAGGCCGAGAAAGTAAGAGCCACGGTACCAGGACTCAGGATAAAAAGATTATATGTCCTTCCCCCGCCCCCTGCAATGGGTAATGGCCAGGAGCAAGGCTAATAAGTGTGGTCCTATTCAACGTTAAATATTCAGCCACAGGAGTAAGTGGTGTGCCTGCAAAAATGCAGATTCACCTGTTACACCGGCTCAGCCACACTGTTAGTTTATGCAGATGTGGGGGGTTGCACCATGGTTATATATCTTCCTCTCAGATACCTACCTTGCCTTTTTAAAAATATAATGTTATGTAGTTTGAAAGCACAAAGCTTCGTTTGAGATCTTCTCTCTCAGATAGTTTCTTTATTACCTCATGCGGAGTGCACTACCAAAGAGCAGGGTGCTTGCTGGCAAAGAAATTCATTTGAACATTATTTCAAGATGGAAAACTTAATATAGCATTTAAGAGTATTTCAAGTGAGCACATCTGGTCTAGCTCCATCACTAGTTCTTTTCAGACGGGCATATCAGTGTTGCTGATGCAGCTTCCTGAGATGTACCCAAGAGTTCTGTTTCCAGCTCCAGTGTGGCTTTAAGGCAAATGATAGAAAGAACATTGCTGGAATGTGATGCTCACTAGAGGGAGACAGATACAAATAATTCCCTCAGTAAGGTCAGTTTAAAACCAGATTGTTCCAGGGTATCAAAAATGTAAAGTGATTCAAAATGGAATTGCTCTAAGGAGATATTACTGCTGGTGCAGCTGAAGGAGCACAAAGAGCAAACCAGAAGAGATCTGCATACCATGCCCACAGGATTTACATTCCTCAGCCTTTTTTAGTTATAAGGAAAATAGTACCAGTTTTGCAGGAGCATCTATAATATGTTTTTGGTTTTAAAAACTAAAGACTCATTGGAACTCCCATCGCGTTAGTGGAAACTGCACACAAGTGTTTGAAGGCAAAATTTGTCTCTGAAATTGTGTTTTCAAAAGATTTCCTCTCTTCTATTCAGGCTCTTATTTTTCAGGTTGAAAAAGTATGGCTTGCACTTGAAATGGAACGTGGTGGGTGAGTTCCCATACCTTGGGGCAGTTTGTTCTGCTGTCCCAACTGGCCCACAAGAAGCTGTCTCCAGCACAAATGAGCTTCACTCTTACTGTGGAAAGTTCCATTGTGTCAAGAGCAAAATTGTCAACCACAGGCCTTATCATTAGGTGATCTCTTAGGATCGCAAGCCTAGGTCAGTAAGTGCCTTGAAAATAAAGACTTAGCTCTGAGGCATCATGCAGCATTCTGTTAGGGGTCAGTGCAGTAGGCAGAGGACAGGTTTGAGGGGCTATTAGCATTGCTTTAGTTCAGTGAAGATATTATCTGTGGGTAACTCAAACTCAAAGGGACTCAGACCATATTTTATTTCTGTCAGCATTTCTTTTTCCTAATGATTTGGGGATATTTAAGAGTTGGTTCTGTACCTGGAAAGGATTCACAGGAGAAAGGGCCTGATTCAAAGCCCACTGAAGTCAACTTAAATGCTCCCATTAACTTCAATGGGATTTTGGATCAGGCCCTGAAAGAGAAGTGTCCTGCAGAGTGAACATTTAATTTAGACTCTGTCCCAGTTTGACTATGATTTCCACCAGGGCTCCTACTATTTTCCATCACTTTCCACAAGCTGTTGGCTCTTTTTTGTTTTTGTTTTCCCCCCTGGTGTTGTGGAGAATGGGAAGAGCTTTCAATCTTTATGTGTTTTAGGGGCAGTGGCAAGCACAGAAGTGAAGCAGAAACTTCAAGAGTTCCTGTTGAGTAAATCAGCAACAAAAGACTCTCCAACTAATGGGAAGAATCATTCCACGAGCCGCCACCCCAAGCTCTGGTACACGTATGTTCTATGTTAAGATGTGTTCATGTCTCACCGATATACTTGCTAAGGGTGGGCACCCGAATTCCTCGCCAACAGGGATATTGAGAACCTGTCTCCAGGCCAAAGTAAAAATTCTCCCAAGAACATTAATAAAGAAACAAAATAAAAACACTTCTTACTGAATGGAGTAGTACTGAGAACCTGTACTCAAAGTGATGTACTTAGAGCTTTTCAAAACAAAGTGGTTTCAATTCACAGGAGTTTGTATTTTTTTTTCCTATTTCAAGTCCCAAGTGTCTCACCTTGAGTTTCACATTCAAACCATCCCCTATCAAACTCAAAGCAGAGCTCAGCCAAAACTGTCACATTTGGAGACAGAATATGTGAATGCATCCGTTTTCCACCCACACCCATAATTTTCCCAGGTTCACTCAAAAGCTGACTCAGGCTGGCTAAAAAGCTTGTGAACCTGGGCCAAGTTTAGTGTTTATAATGATGCTAGGCAATTTTTGTCTGGCTTTAGACCTGGTTATGAAAGTTTGCTGTGGCCTTGTGGTTCACCTGCTCATGGAGAACATGGATAACAGATTGATAGGCTCAGGGTGAGCCATCCCATTTCCAGAAAGGGAAGCTGATGTAATTTGAGGATCTAGGAGGGGTGGAGATTTCTTTTCAACTTTTCTGAAGTTTTAATTGTCTGTAATCTCTTCTGCTATATCATTTATATAAAATCTCAAGCGATCTTGCAAATCTGACCTATTTTTCCATTGGGAATGGCTTTGTGCTTGAGTCTATCAGATTAAGACTCAGACAATGAAATAGCCTCCTTTTAGCCTCAGGTATAATGCAAAGCCATGATATTGTAGAAGATGAAGTTAACAGATATTGTAGAATGCTGCTCTTCGGTCCAATGTGTTGTGTGGGATTTTAGAAATAATTCTCTAGCATATTGAGAAGTGGTAAAAGATCTCTAAGCTTTTTTCACCATTCTTTTTGAAATTGTTGGCCCTAGGTATCCAAGAATGCACATTGATCTCAGAGAGAGACCTTAACGATGAGGTTCTCAGGTTACTGAGATAGTGATGCTGCTAAGCATTGCAATGGCTGCAAGATAGCCTAAGGGTTTACACTCTTACATTCCTCTGGTCACTTTTTTCACTATTTCAGTCCAGTCTTTTCTGCCATCCTTATCATAGCAGCTGTATCAATATAAAACAATCCTGCAAACAGGATAGTGGACATGTTTCCAAGAGACTTCAACACCATTCCTGAGTCTGCCTGGATAGAGCGAAATATATGGAGCATGCTGGTCTCACCTCCTTCCCAAGAGAGGCTTAGAGACCTGAGGAGCAAACCCAAGATTCCTACCAAGATAGTCTGTTGTGCAATCTACCAAGACACCTAGATGTCCCTTGATTAAACATTTTGATCTGGAGTTAGTTCTTTTTAAACAGTTATTAAAGATTTCCCTCTGGGGTTTTCACTGTATTGTACTCTTTGAGAATCCTGGTAACATGTTTTAATATGTAATTACATTGTTTCCGATGGCGGTACTGTACTTAATAGTTTGTGCTATATAATGTGCACTATTCTACTAACTATGTAAAATTTCTGGCCCAGCAGCCAAGAGGACAGGAGTAAAATGGGTAGATATGAGGTTCCACGAAGGGCCCCACAAGAAAAAAGCTCTGTAAATTATGTTGTCTTTGAGCCAAATGATGCAATTCCCTTGGGCATTTATGGTTTGAAAGAGCTGCCCACAGTTTTTCTTGCATTGCCCATGTGTCAGAAAGAGCTCTCCAGTGTGGGACTTCACTGCTGACACTAACTTTACGTGCTGCAAAGTACTGCAGTTATGAAGTTTCATTTGCTGCCCAAACTAAAGACAAGGTTTTGCTTTCTCCTTTACGACTCCTGGCAAACTCATCTATATTTTTCCAGCGGAGTAACACCTCCTCTTCAAAATATTGGGTAATTGCCCTACAAAAAGTGATAACTGCAGAGTAAAGGCCACTTTAAATTTATATTTGTATTTAATAAACAGGAATCAAATGGCTTTGCTTCAGCTGGTACAGTTTAAAAAAACGCAACAACCTAAAATGTTCAATTCCCTGATCTGGTACAGATCCCTGTGGGGCAACATGACTCTTATCCTTTGTGACTTTTATGATAAGTGAAAAAGGGCATTCTTGGGAATCCTGAGCAGTTCCATAACTTACTGTAAAAGTGAAATTGGTTACATGAGCCTGTGGTTTGTGCACACTTGGAGGAGTAAGAACATAAACACAGCTGAGACATGTGGACAACATGTGTAGATGGTTACTGTTGGTCACCTCACTTACTGCTAATTCGTGACCTCTCTGTGTCTGCTACAGGGCTGCCCACCATACCTCACTGGATCAAAGCTCTCCACCCCTGAGCGGGGCCTCTCCATCATACAAATACACTTTACCAGGAGCACAGGATGCCAAGGATGATTTTCCACTTCGAAAAACTGGTGAGTCAGAGAAGTTTGTTCTAATCTCCTACCCCACAATTCTGCCTCACTTGGTTGTTAATCAGGCTGTCGCTAGCAAGGTATATATCATAACCCGAAAAGCCTATTCAGCTGCATGATTCATTGGAAAGGTTCAAAGGTGCTAAGTGTATAGTTTTCCAATTTAGATGGACCCTGTGGTGTCAAGAACCAGTATCTCCCAATGCTAGCAGTCCTGACATATGTACTTGTTGTTAATATTTCACAATATCAGGGGAACTTGTGCAGTATTATTAATAAGTCTAATATTAATTCTGAGTTTAATTTGACAATCATGGCTCTCTCGCTCACATACAGTATATACTGCACTTACATTAAGGTCTTCAGAGTTCTTTTTCTTTTGGGGGGAGGTAGATAAGTATTATATCAGACCATTTTCTTTGGGTGGTTGCCAAGGTTAAATATATCTATTTTAAAATCCTTCAAATAAAAATGTGAAATATTTTAAAAGAAAGTGTTCACTTAGAAAACAAGCTTTAGCTGAACCTCTTTTCCTGACAATCGGTGAAGTGTAGACTTGACTTTGTCTACACCATAGAGTATGTTAAGGGGCTGGTGATGGAGACTTGGTGCCTCTTGCCCCAGGTTGTTGGTGAGGTGACTGGCATCCAAGAATGCAGGGAGACATTAAGGGGGTGAGGGAGAAGAGAAAAGAAAACATTAGATCCCTTATTGCATGCGGCTGCTGTTGAGTGATATAGTTACATTCTGAGAGAAAGTCTACCCCCCTGCTGTGCTAACTGCCTTTGAATGTGCTTCAATCACTGGGAGATTGAAAACTAACTGCAGAACTGGTACTGACATAGAAGAGATGTGGCATTTGAAACCAGTAAGCATCCAGAAAGAAAATCCAATCTACATCTAATTCTTCAGGACAGACACTCAGAGCTCATGTTATATCCCCTAATGTTTTCACAAGAATAGTTTAGTGCTTGTTTTTGTAAAGAATGAAAAACAAACTGCTAATTTATTCCGTCTGAATTATTCAGTCTGCTTTTGGTACACCATGGTGGCAATATAAGGATCCTATAAAAAGCTTGCTGAGGCTATTCTGTCATAATAAGCCCTTTGCAGTTCTTTGCTTAATGGCATTGTACAAGATGTATTTTCTGTGCCAACATGCTATATGTTTACATTGGTTTGGAAAACAAAAGAATAGAGTCTGCACCTTCTAAAATGCTGTGAATGTTTCTGCATTTTCAAAATGCAGGTTTTAATTTTCCTTCCATTTTTACATATTTTAGATAGTATGATTGATATTTATGATGTGTCAGACTGTTGATCTGTAAAACAAAACATTTTCAAACACTGTAACACTAAAGTTCTTGTGCAGCTGTTAATACTTTTATATCTCTGTGGGGGTTTCAAAATATTCCTTAATTCAATTCCCATTGTCTGTATAAGAAGACTATAATATAATTAAATGCAGATGTTTTCCATACATTATCCCAAATATTTGGGCATGCAGTGCATCAGTTACAAATAGAACTCATAAGTATAATTCTCTTTAAAAAATACACACAACAGAAATAGACAAATAATGATATGATATATTCATTAGCGTAGCAGTCTTTTTGTCACTTCAGTGTTTGATACTTTTACTTCAACATTCTGCTATGTAAACTACTGATATGTTCAGTATGTCATTTCTTAGACAAGAACTCTATTTGATAGCTAGCTATATCTGTTAATATAGCAACTCTTATAAATATCTTGTTTACCTATTAAATACTCCCAATAGCAGAAGAGTCTTAATTTAAGCCTTCAGCAACAGCTCCACAAAGGTTCCAATGATTGTTCCCCAGGTTCAGAGTAAAATCAACAGGAACTGGAACAACACAAGTCAAATGACCCCAAACTGATCTGGGTGGCTATAGGGCCATCCCTTAGGCAGAGGGGACATTGTGGAGCCTGTGTCATCCTCATGGGACCATATCAGACAAAGATGTCCCAGGAACATTCATATATATAGACAGGCTCTCTGCCTGCAGAAATCTGACCTTTGCCATCAGGGTGAGCCTTTTCCTGGGGCTATGAATGCTTATTGCCACTGGCTTTTAGCAGAATTCTGTTTTTCTGAACCTGCATGCAGTCAGCAATTGCTATGAAAACGAACCTTTATGTTCTGTTGAACATTAAGAAAGGGATACCTAAAACCCAAATTAAGGGTTAGTTTTTAATAATAGTTCTGATTTGTTTCCCCAGTTCTTATTGATGCTCTTAACATAAAATCAAGAGGTGTCTTTCTCTTCTCTACATTTACATGGTGCCCTCAAAGGATACTTTTGATTATATTTAGTTAGTTTAGATTCAGCATATAGGAATGAGAAGCAAAGCTGAAAAATGCTATTCCAACAGCTAAACTGTGAACAAGAAACACAGTGTTAGGAAAGAAACATACATAAGTCATGAGGTTTTCCTCCTTTTTGTTTCAGCAGAATGTTTCCCCAACCTTCCCTTCCCCATCCCACCATTGTCATCATGGAGAAATGGTGTCTTGCTACTAAATCTGTTCAACTGTATTCAAAGGTCAGACTGTAAAAGGGAGAACTACTCTACTCAAATTCTGCCTACAAGCCACAAAAATCCGGAATAACTGGATATTGTAGCTAATTAGTTAGCGTCTTGATATTTACATGCTCATCATTAGATTCCAGAGTAATCACCCCACTGCAGTGACTGTGAGCCCATGTATTGTTCCTTCCCCAGCCGGTGTAGAGGGACCTGTGTGTAGTAAAATTGGTGCAGTTCTAGTGCACAGGGGTTTGACACTAGTTTGTGGTCTTTAGGACAAGGATTGCAGCTCCTTGCACAATGGCATTCACATTTGTTGTTTGCAGTGTTGTTGTAGCCATATTGGTTGCAAGTGGGTGACGTGATATCTTTCATTTGACCAACTTCTGTTGATGGAAGGACAAGCTTTTGAGCTTCACAGGACTCTTCCTTAGGTCTAGAGAAGGGAACCATAATGTCCAGGCCAAATACAAGCTGAGACAGATTATTAAGCATAAGTGGTTCACATTTGTTGTAGGAAACAACTTAAAATGATGTGGGCAATTATCACTACTGCAGTGATAGGATAAAGGAGGATAGAAAGCAGCAGGGTGTGTTACAAATTGTTGTAATAAGCCATGAAACCAGTGTCTCTGTTAATACCATGGCTTTTGGTGTCCCGAATTATGAATTTAAGTTTCCAGGCTCATCTTTTGAAGGTGAGGTGCAGGTTTCCTGTAATAACGAGGACTGGGAGGTCAGATATGGAGTGATCACTTTGTGATAGGCTTTTTGTTGACAGGCTCTTGAAGGAGCTGAGCAGGAGGAGGACTGGGGAAGCCATCGCTTTGTTAGATACATGGATTTAGATTTACCATGTAGAGGAGTGACACCTGTGTAATTGAGAGCAGAATTTGGCCTACAATATGTAGGGTCAGATTTTTAAAAGTGCTCAGTGCCCAGGAGCTCCCATTAAGATTAGTGTGGCAATTCTCAAAAGCACCTAGATGACTTAGATGATTTCCAATGGGACTTGTGCTCCTAAATCACTCAGGTGTTTTTGAAAATTCCACTCAATGGAAGCTGCTCAATATTGAACACTTTTGAAAGTCAGGTCATTTTTAGAAGGCCTAAAGGGAACTGATCTCTTTTGAAAATCTGGTCACATATTTAGGTGTCTAGATGAAAGCCATTTGGTGTTGAACACCATAATTCTCTGTGTGTCTAACTGGGAAGATGTTATCTTTAGACTAGGCTCCTTTAAAATGAATAAGAGTAAAAAATATAACAAACCAGATGGATTTCATGGAGGAGGAGTTGTTCTCTACAAAACTTACTTTTCACCTTGTTGAAACAATACAAAATATTCTGGCATAAAGCCAGAATGTTTGCATTTTCTTGGAACTGTAACATTTCACTTTCTATGCTCTAGTATTGATGCAAACCAGTAAAAGCCAGTAAATTCCAAATGAAGATTAGCCCACTGTTTTAACTAAAGCCATGTGTCTTTTTTAAAAGTTGCTTATAGATGGAGCCTCTGCCTTCATTTTGCATCATTTCTTGGCGTTCGTTGGAAGAAATTCCAGAGAACACCACCATGGGTTGGAGTCCTAATCTGGCAATCAAAAGACTAGACTTTTGAATACCTTTTATATTGCAACATAGGAGCTTCTTATCCTTTCTGCATGTTACTTTCATATTTAAATTGTGTTTTGCTCTTATAAACTGTTAGTTATGGTGCTATCCTTGAAATTGTTACTGAGGATAATGTTTTCATTTTTCTAGAGTTATAGATTGTGTTTCACCTGAGTGCCAGCTAGTGCTAACGACTAATGTTTTGGAGGTTATTTTCCTCACACTGAGCATAAATTGCAAGTTGATAGCTCTACAGCGGTGATTCTCCACAGCCCTGGGGATCCGCAAACTATATCTAAGAGGTCCATGAAAGGTTGTCATTACCACAAAACAGTGGTTTTCAACCTGTGATCCACAGAGCCCTGGGCGTCTGTAGACTATGTCTAAGATTTCCAAAGGGGTATGCACCTCCATTCAATATTTTTTAGGGGTCTGCAAATGAAAAAAGGTTGAAAACTACTGCACAACAGCACAAATGCCTGAAGCAGACATTGAAAACCAGTGCTACTGATCAACACTTCTATTTCTGTAAGGAGCTCTCTAGATTTTGTGTCTTTAGTGCCTTACTTTGTTATGGACTCAACTGCAGACTTTCATCTGTGGTTTAGTACGATCTAAGAAAATTGTTTGCGGCTTACTAGCCAAATATTGGAAGTGTGTACAGATGAAACTCAGAACGGCATGTTTAGTTAGTAATAGCACAAGGTGCTGTTTTGATGCTAGGTTATATTATTTGAGACTGGAAAATAAAAACGTAGTGTAAGCAAAGAGTTCATTTGTGGTAAAGGAGAGGAGAGGTGTGCTGTGTACAGTGAAGCTCCAAACACAAAAAC